TCATTCAATTCAAAAGGTCTGATGAAAGTTACTCTTAAGACTACTATCATTGCCTGAGCGTCATGGTAGAGATGCATAGCTTCTATGTTTTGTAAGTACCTGCCAAGTTCAGAGAAATCAAATCTCGGAAAACAGGGGGAAGGGGGGGGGGGGGGGAGGGGGACATTATCTTTTTTTTTTTAGTTTGACGAGAAACCCCGTGAAGAGGCAGTCTGCCCGAATCACACTGTCTTCGCAGTTGTTTTGGCGTAAACTGCAAGTGGTGCCCTGCCCTTCTACGGCACGAGCATGGTTCTGATGCTTTCGTGAAGCGATGTGTATCTTGATGTCAAGCTTGCCGCCATGCGTAACGCTCACACATCATAGGCGCACATGGTACAGAATCCATACTTGTCAGCTTTCCGCAAAGCAACAAAGCACGGCAACTCGGTCGCGTATGATCTCAGAAATACTTGCAAGTACTTCTCTCTGGCTTTTGAAAGTGCCATCGATCGTTCCAACAGATCAGTGGTTCCAACTAAACTCGGGGAAACACGAAGAGCAGTTCGGTGTTCCACACCTCACTCGACGACCTGACCAAGCCAACTGAAGCATAGCGCACCCATGGTCATATAAGCCGTGTTCCAATATGCGCTCTAACTTCAGGAGTAAAGGTTTGGTACCTTGGCGTTTGAATATCTACCCTCGTTTTACGCTACTGCTCCGAGTTGTTACGTGGTAACCCGCCGGAGTAACCTAAACCTGCTCTCGAGTAACTCGCAATGACACATGCGTGATGATTATAGCAATGAAACGACACAAAAAAAAAAAAGAACTATGGTGGATACTTTTCGGGAGATTTTCCTGTCAATCGTACAACCCGGGAGAGTTGGCGGGTAATCCGGGAGAGTTGGCGGGTATGCCTGAAGCAATAAAAAAAAATTAAAACAGCCTGAATGAACAGGCACGTAAAAAGAGCTTGATTGGAGCAATATTTATGGTGCAATACTTTTCGTGTGCACCAAATTTCTCTGGTCCCAGATATACCGGGACCCATTGGGTGCCAGTTGGTAGCTTCCCCTTAGCTGAAAGGTTAATGGAAGTCTGTGATGTTGGGTACAAAATCTGTGTATGCTGCCATAATCTTTTAAACTACATTTTTATGTTTAAGGTCCAACCCATCCAGTGAGTGCCATACTGTTCACACGAGTATAACAGGAGTGTCACTTCCATTCCAAGTCATACTGTAACAAAAAAGGACTGTGTTCCAAGACTTTCTCAATCCAGCTCTGCAGTAAAGATTTTGTGCCCTGGCATTTGAAAACCTGCACGAATCCAACGTTGCTCTATTCAGGTGACATAACCCAACAGAGTGACCCAGACTGCTCGAATGGGCCTTTACACATAGCCAAGAACTTCGCCAGGCCTCGTTTGACCACCAACTGAGGTGTAGTCGGTGGTTGCTGCGGTCAGACATGAGGCTCTCGTACGGTGCGCAGCCGAGCAGCCAAGCCAAACCCACAGTGATGGGCGGGACTTACCTTTTTTCCGAATGGCTCGGAGAAGCGCAAGAGAGAAAAATGGAGAGGAGTACCACCCACTTTCAATTGCATCTTACGCCGCAAATACTGCTCCAATCAATTTTTTTTTTCACAGAAGATTATATATCTTTTGACATGCGAGGACTGTGAACTCGACACACAAAATCTGATCACCTAGGGGAGCACAAATTTCAGCCATGAGACAAGCCCATACACTGCCTCCAGAAAATGTGTTGATTGAGACTGCAAGTGTGATAAATTGTTGATAATAAACTGTACCAAGATGTCAGCCAGTGAAGAACTCTCATCCCACCCCCGCATGTGCCACAGGCCTAAATAGTGACTTTCTTTAGCTGAACAGAAAAAAAAGGAATTCGGCATACAGTCTGAATCGAAAACACCGAATAATGAATGGAAGCTCATTTTATGGGAACCCTATGTAGCCTCCTGAATCTGCCTTCAGCCAACAGTGAAAACTGCAGGCACTGCAACTGATTATGAACAGAAACTTCCAGGAGAAACTCTGAGTAGATTTACCAATTTGTCATCCCCTACCCATATTCAATATGGTCTTTGTACCCAGTAATTCATAAACTCCACCACAGAAACCATCCTCCAATTATCCTGAACCAGTATACAATAGGTCCCAAGGAACTATTACCTGACAACCGTTTGCAGACTGTTCAGCTTTTTCGGAATTTCTTGCTGCCCTGTCTTGCTGGAGCTCCTCCCGGAACCGAAGCAGTTCGCTAGCAGCAGTTTGCAGATCTGGGCAATGAAAATACATGAGTCAAACAAACAGTTTTTCTATTTTCTATTTCTGTTAGCATCACAACGTCAAGTTTCAAATAAAAGTAAACTATGATACTTATGACATAGCAAAAATAGTCAAAAGCAAAGTTTTTATTCTTTTTTTTTTCTGGTTCAGAACATTCAAAAACGGGAACTTGTATTAGGACTTTTAATTTTGTCATTAGCTTACCAGACTTAGGGCCACTAGGAATAACATTGCTTGTGCAATTAGGCGGCTAATTACAAGGTATGCTTTATGTTTGAAATTAGTAAAAATAACCATTTATTTTGAATGCAACACTTGCTGGGCATCAGCAAAAGCCACTAAATCAGTCAACCTTCGAACCTAGTGAAGGAATGAACTGGCGACCCGCGACGTTGACGTTGTCATAGGGGCCTTTGTCAATTTTTAAGTAAGTGGATTGTGTCTTCTCACTGCACGTATTTCATATTATTGGCAGGAAAACACTATCTCACTAGCACAGACAGTAAAGTGTTGCGAGATACATGCAAGTCGTTATGTCGTTGTTGTGCGTGAAGCTGTACATGTGAATGAGCCAATTTCGAGAAACTTCGAAGTCCAAAGCCGCTGCACATCGAAAAAATTGTGTGAACAGACAGTCAAACTGACACAGTGGCACTAGGGGGGACCACCCCAGGTACAACACTCTAGGGAGTGTCGCGGCGGGCATAGAGGTCTTAGCGACGGGCAACGAGCAGAGGGAGGGAAGGGGGGGGGGGGGGGGGGAGTGTCGCCACTGACCCAAGTGACGCCAGTGGACTGACAGATGAATCCACCAGACCCAGCAGACTGTGGTTGAACAACCAACAAGCTCGTCAGCCAATCGCAAATGATGGCTTCTTGAGCGGAGAGTAGCCGACCAGCCCTGCGTGAGCGATGGCATCCGCACAGGATGCCATCGCTCATGCGGGCCACTCGTCATTCGCCCACATCCAGCTGGATTACGTGGCACTATCTATAGGCCTGAGATGTCGCAATCTTTGATCACAATTTCAGTACTGAAATAGGCCGCACATGATTATAATTTTTCGAATTGCGGCATACCTCGAGCATGTATATTGCCAGGTTGAGTCATAAATAGACGATCCCAAAACCCTCCATAGTGCCCCTTTGAATTGTCTTGCACCTGCCTCTAATGTAGTGATGCAAAACTATCGATAAAGCGACTATCGATACTATAGATAGTTTTGGAAAAACTATTGATAGTATCGCAGAACTATCGATAGTCGACTATTGATAGTACTATCGATAGTTTTTCGATAGTCACCTATCGATAATACTATGGATAGTGTTTCGATGGTCGACTATCGATAGCACTATCGATAGTTTTTTACTATCGATAGTCAGATTTCTGGCGAGTATCGATACTATCGATAGTTTTGCATTACTAGAGCGAACACAGTTGCCGCACCGCCGCTCGCCTCCCTTCGTCCTCTCTTCGCCCAAAATCCCGTCTTCGTCATCACTGAAAGCTGAGCCAAAGAAGTGCTTGGGCTAATTGGTGTCCCATTTGAAAACAAAAGAAGTGAAAGCAGTTTACAACTCCCTGTGACGCCGAATTAGAGCGCAGCCCTTGAAGAGGAGGAGGAAAGGATAATGGGGGTGGGTCAAGTGACCTACGGGGGGGGGGGGAAGGGACGCGTGACCTAGGAGGGTCACGTGACGATAACGATGCCATCATCAGTGACGTCACTGATGACGTCATCGGCATCGTCACGTGACCCTCCTAGGTCACGCGATCTGTGACGTCAACGATGATTATGCGGATACCGATGACGTCATCAGTGACGATGACGTCATCGCAACGTCATCGTCATGAGTGATCATGACGATGACAATGCTGATGCCGGTGACGTCATCAGTGGCGTCATCAGTGACGATGACGTCATCGCATCGTCATCAGTGATGATGACGATGACGGTACGGATGCCGGTGATGTCATCACTAACGTCATCGAGGGTCACGTGACCTTGGGGGAGGGGTCACGTGACCACCCCAGGTCACGTGACCCAGGGGGGGGGGGGGACTCGCGCGGTGCATTATGGGACATTTCCCATAAACCCATAATGCACCGCGCGGTTACGCCGACGCCGCTCAAGCCTGAAACGGGCCCCTAAGAGCAGCGCTCTAATAAAGCGAGAAAAAGAGAAGAGGGAGCAACGCTAACTACTAGTGTCGCAAAACTATCGATAGTGAACTGTCGGCAGTACTATCGATAGGTTTACGATAGTCGACTATCGATAGTTTTCCGATAGTCGATTAACGATAATTTTCCGACAGTCGACTATCGATAGTACTATCGATAGTTTTTCGACAGTCGACTATCGATAGTACTATTGACAGTTTTTCGATAGTGGACTATATATAGTACTATCGATAAAAACTATCGATAGTTTTTCGATAGTCGAATATCGATAGTACTATCGATAGTCGACTGTCGATAGTACTATTGATAGTTTTTCGATAGTTGACTGTCGATAGTACTATCGATAGTTTTGCATCACTACTCTAATGTACTACCTTGATCGTACAGTCTCGCCATTAAACCAACTGATGACTGTCAGCCGAGGCCCTGTGGCCACGGAATGTTGCAGCCTGCCGGGTGCTCATCAACCATATGTTTTTGAATGGCTGGTGCCATGCATTTACCTGTGTTGTGTCCTCACCTAAAGGGTATATCTTACACCTTGAGCATTATCCCAGGTCAGCTGAGTCAACCCAAGTTGGCAATTGCGATCTGCCACTAGCCTTACAACAGTTAAAAAAAACAGCCTGTATAACCAGGGTATTACTCACCTTCAATCCCATCCTTTTGTGAGGTTATGTAGTCGATGGTAGTCTTCAGTTTGTTGTTCTCTTCCTGAAGCTCCTGCATGTGACTCTTCAATGAGTTGTTCTCTACCTCCAGTACTTCGCAGTGCTTGCAAGTTTCCAACTGAAAAATAACCGTTGTATTGCTAAATTGTTGCAAAATTGCAAAATTCGTACGCCCTACTATCCTGCTAGACTGACTGTCTTTGCAATGACATATCTTGAAGTGGACAACCACAAATTATGAGGTCAAAATATTTGCTCCCAGCATATGCACAAGAGTGGCACAGTATGTGTCGGCAACCTCAAGTATAGTTTAGTGAAGTGCAGACTTCCACTACTTTTCGACCTCACATGTCAAGTTCAGCTTTTTTCTTTTCAAATGGACATTCAGGAGGTGCCCTTGAGCGTCTGTTTACTTTCTCTCAGGTGATCCGAGTTTTCAGAGGTCTTTGCTTTTATACAGCTCGAAACTTTTCCGATCAAAGTACGGAACATAGAAATATTTACCATTTGCATCCTACTGATTCTCAAAACTTCAACATAAGGCTCTTCATTCATTAAAATGAAATGCAAAAGAACAAAAAGTTCATAAAGATTGATTGCAAAGCAGACTGCAAAAATATTTTCGAGTTTCCATAGGATTTGTCTAAAAATGTAGTCACCAACATTGTTTCCTATGACCTAAGGGCAGGGGTCTAAATTGACATTTAAGTAAGTTTATAAATTAACCGTCCACAGAAAGAATAAAGCAAACTTGGGATGATGGACGGCAAACATTTCTTTCAACTCACAACAACATAAGATTACTGTTGCTGCAAGTTGAAAGAAATAATTGTTATTTATCGTCCCGAGTATGTTTTAATCTTTCTGTGGTCTGTGAATTTTACCAACACGCTCTTCGGTTAATTTGAATTGATAAATAAATTTTACCATGATTGCTGCAATGTCACATTGATAGGGCATCCAAGCTTCAGTTACGGCGTACAGCTTTTATTCACATTGAACTGGAGCAACAATATAAACACTTCTGTGCAGATGTGCATGGGTGCTGTTATTACTGACCTTCAGGTTTAATTTAAATCTATTTCACTCGCTACACTCCATCACTGTGGCCATATGACAAGCTGTAAGTTTGAAGACGTTCTGTGCTTTTTGACGTCGAGATGCTGCCGCGCTTGTGCATGGCTGAGAGCTGTGGCAACGACTTGGTCGACAGCACTATGCCGATCAACAAGTTTCCGAACGACCAAAAACTTCATGCCCTGTGGATCCAGCTGCACGTCTATCGCTTCCGATGTGGGTTCCGACGCCTGCTGCTCGCTTCCCGAAATTAACCCCTTAAAGGAGCGATGCAACAATTTTTGTACTTTGCGCAAATACCGCTTAAAACGGATCCCTAACGTTAATGACTTATGAAACACGCGTTCGTTTTTCACCCCACGCAATAGAAGTCCCAGAAAAAAATTAAAGACAAACGAGCAGCGTTCACCCCCTCAACTCGCAGCTAGTACAAGCGGCCACGTGATCTGAAGCCGATTATATGCCGCCAGTGTTGATCATAGCCACGCGCTGGGGTTGGCAAAGCGCAGGACACGCGCTGAGTTCCAGACATTGTTATGGCTCGGCTGTTGTCGTCGTTGCAGCGATTGGACACGGGTCACTACCCGAGGTAGCGATTATCACGAGCCCAAGTCGAGTGCCCACGCAATGCTCGGGACCAATCTATGAACCGCATTCAAACATCGTCACTTGGGTGTACTGCGATCCCCACGGTACGTCACCAAATTTTGCGAAGGAGAGATTGAATGAAAATGATCGCTTTTGTCCTTGAAATTACACCGCAACAAAGGAGTTTCTTGGCCAGTGGCGTTGCGTGCGAGTATCCTTGAGTCCCAGGTGTGCCAGTAAGCTCGTGTCAAGTGAAAAACATTTCAATTGAATATCGTTGCACAGCTCCTTTAAGTGCCTTAGACGAGCTGAGCTCGTCGGCCATTTTTAGGCTAAAAATGCCATGGACGAGCTCAGCTCGTCCAGTGGTTTCTTCGGCAGCCCTCAATTCTACGGACGAGCAAGGCTCGTCCGTGTAGTTTTGCTGTGGTGGTGATAGAGGGCAGCATTTGTATTAGTTGGCAAATATTTTTTTTTGCCTCCACAGATTTTTTTGTAATAAACTTTTCAAATTATGTGTAATACTATAGAAATAAAAATTCAAAATAAAAAAGTTTGGCACTTTTAGTGTACTTTCGGGAAAAAAATGTGGCACTTAAGGGGTTAATACAGAGAGGGCGGTATCCTCATCCTCACTTGCGTCGTTCAAGTCTATGTTCCCAAGGAATCGTCCTGAAGCGCCATTTCACGACGTGCACGACTGATCTCACACGTGAAACGCTCGTCACCCCACGGGTACCTCGGACGGCTCGGCCATAACATGCTTTCCGAAATTAATACGGAGAGGGCAGTGTTGATGTCCTCATCTAGAGACTGCCGTGTTCATGTTAAGGCCCGTTCACACTCTTGCAACTAAGTACGACCGAGAGAGACCAGACCGGTTTTTAAGCCTTTTGCAACTTCTTAGGACCGGATGCGCCAGAGCGGAGCTGGTCCTAAGAGATCGCAAGAGGCTTAAAAACCAGTCTGGTCTCTCCCAGTCTTGCTCAGTCACAAGAGTGTGAACGGGCCTTTACTAGCGGAGACTTCACATGGGTCGAACTTTCGTCCGTTTGAGAGGTTCAACATCTCAGTGAGAGAAGGTCAATTATGGCGGCTTTAAAAGGGTACGGAAACAAAAATGGAAATATTCAAATGTTGTTCGGAAATGAGTCAAGCATGACATATAATAACCGGAAATGATAATCGCATGTTCGTATTTTGAACGACTGGCTATATGTTTCGTTCGAAACGGTGCACTCGAGCAAGCGCTCGAAGAAAAGCGAACGGAGAGCGCGATGCGTCATGGGATATCCAGCGCAAACAAAAAAACAAACAAGATTCTCCCACATTTGTGACATAGCAAGGCTGGCGTGGTTATGAGCTTTGCCGTTGGTGGCATTGTCAGCGTTGTGGTGGCGTCAACAGCGTCAACATGTTACAACCGAGCCGTTCGAAGTACTCATGGGGTGACGAGCGTTTCAAGTACGAGGTCAGTCGTGCGTGTCGTGTTTCTGTGGCCCACTCCAATGGCGCTTCAGGACAATATCCTTGGGACCATAAACTTGAACGACACAAGTGAGGATGAGGACACCGGCACCACCCGCTCCGTATTCATTTCGGAAAGCGAGCAGCAGGCATCAGAACCCACGTCGGAAACAATGGACGTGCAACCGGATTCGCAGGGCCCGAAGTTTCTCGTCGTTCGGAAACTTGTTGATCGGCATATCGCTGTCGACCAAGTCGTTACCACAGTTCTCAGCCATGCAGAAGCACAGCAGCATCTCGACGTCAATAAGCGCAGAACAGCTTCGAACTGTACAGCGAAGTCACAGGATCAACTCTGTGACATTCCTCAATGAGTCCATCATGGCATCTCGTTGGCTTCCTTTGCAAAGGGACAAAGCGCACGGATCAACATTGGCATGAGCAAAGGATTTGCAATCACGTTCAGGCCGAGGTCATTTAAAACAGTTGAGCATATTTCCAAAGGGCAGCACCGCTCCGATGTTTATTACTGCTACGTAACGGTTCCTGCCATGTCATGACTATGTAGCAAGATTCCCGACGTAGCTAGATTACCTCTTAACTAAGCTTTACAGGGATCCACCAGGTGCACATTGAAAGATCGCTTAATTAGCTTTAAATTTTGTTTTCTTGGGCCTTCCAACGAAAAATTGGTGTTTTTGAGGCTGGGTGCAACATGCAACAGATTTAAGCTAGAAAATGCGCGCTGGAATTTCATTTCCGTACCCCATTAATCTGGCGCGTGCTAAAAGCGTCTATACTAAATAAAAACTCAAAATGTCTTGTGCAGAAATAATTTGCGAGCTCTGCTAAACTTCCTTTTTTTTTTTTTAAGCGTAGAAACAGTAATTAGGTACGCCAGTTTGGATTAGAAACAGCACACACCCTTCAAATAGTCCTAAAATAGCATTCCTCGGCTGAAGCTCGTTGCCGCCACAAATATCTGACACATATCATGACGGGCACACGTACCTGGTCGCCGTCTTCCGACGCCCCATTAGAAGACGCTTCTTTCACCTCCTTGTTTTTCGTTAATTGCTGACACCGCTTTTCCATTTGTGCGGCGCTCCCTGTTCAGAAAGGACAGTTGCGAAATCGAAGGCGGGCAAATCACGCATTGAAAATAACGCTGGGTTCTTCTCAAACCGAGAGCATCGAAGCAAGCTTACCGACAGCCTCGATCCTTGCCGGGTGTTTCTCGCCCTTCCAACGTATCAGTACGTCGGTTGCAAACACGCTTGGATCTTTGCTATTGTGAATTATAAGCGCCCCGATTTTTGTGTCAACGATGTCCCTTATGCTCACAACGTCAAAAAGGCGGGTCCTGCCCGTATTTAGCCATCTTATTAGGACGTGACTCATGATTGAAAAAACAGTAAAACACCTAATGGACTATAAACCAAAAACCAACGTGGTCGCAACGTAACAAAAGAAGCAAAGCAGAAAGACAGGAGAGCGCACGTGTGCAAAGCTGGATTGAACTGGATTGGATTAGATGCGACTTCAGCGGTATCTGGACACCAGTGTTGACAGACGACAATTGTTTTAAAGTAAATGTAAATGCAATAAGCTATTCGCGCAGCAACTACTTATTCCATTATATATTTAGTAGGTAACTCACTAAAAAAATGTACTTAGAATACGCAAACATTCTCAAGGTGCAGGCGAGCTGGTGTATGTGAACCATGATGTTAAAATCCTGAAACTGGGAAAGAAATTTAAAAGAAATAGTGCAAGGAGACGCAGAAAAACGGGGACAGGACAATCGTCTAGCTAACAAAATTTATTCCGTCCACAGCTTTTATAGCCAACTCCCAAGGTCACCGCCAACTCACACCGATAGACTTCTCCCCTTTTCTGTGTCTTCTAACACTTTTTCTTTCAAGTTACCTTCCCAGTCTCAGGATTTTAACTGCAATACGCGTTGAAAGCAAACGGACAAACGTGCTTTGTTCGTTGTCTGGCGGGAGAGCCGGAACCGGGCACGTTAACCTCTTTTCGGGGCATCTGGAAATGTAAAGTAGGGATGTTTCTGTAGTAACGGAAGGCACTCATTTTGGTTCTAATGGATGTCTTTGAACGGTTTGGAATCCCTAACGTGCTAATCTCTGACCAAGGACTTCCCTTTGATTCAGTAATATTCAGAGCACTAGTGCAAGAATGGGACATTATTCACGAGCCATCATCACCACCTTATCCCAGATCTCTTAAATCCATGCTCGCTAAGTCGCGCAGCGATGGTAAGGATCTTGCTCAACTACCGCTCCACCCCTAACATCGGATCTGTTTTTTAAGCAGAGCTACTGATGGGCAGGGAGCTAAGAACATTCATCTCTGCCCTACCTCAAAGCTTGGAACCAATATTTCCTACTCAAGCTCACAAGAAGCTTCTCAGAGACATCAGGAACAGCACAAGTATAAAGACTGCCACACCCAGGCACTCTTGGCTCTCGCAAAGGACCAGCCTGTTTGGTTTAGGTAAGTTCGGTGTGTATACCAGATGCATGGGCCTCCGCCTTTCCACCGAACTAGCACGCCTGACGTATTCCCATTATTTTCTTATTTCAAGTGCAATAAAGTATGAAGTTGAAAAAGAGCACCTGGCAAAAGGCAGTCATAATACAATTTGGTTTCGAACCGAGGCGCTACAGTGCAAACTCCTAGCGGCGGTGTGTACGTCAGGAACCACTATCACCTCAGACCATCCTCAGACCCCGTAGTCCAAGGGCTGAAGATGGCGGCTGCTCGGCAGAAGAGTACTTTCCTGACGAACCAGGAATCCAAGAAATGGTCAGGCTCGTCCAGGTGTGACACGTTCAGGACGATATCACACGTAAACCGGCAAGAAGACTGAACATCTTGCGGTGTTGTTTTTTTTTGTTTTTTTTTGTTTTTTTTAAGGGCGTGTTTTGCGTTCCTAACGCCGTGTGCGTTGTCGGAAATATCCCCAAGAAAAGGTCAGCCCCACCAGAGCTTGACACGCGTCCATGCGGCCACACCACGCGCTTACCTTCGCAACCAACGAGTCTTTGTGACATTCCTTCCAGAAAACAACATATCAGGCACTTTTTGTGATGAGGTTAAAGAGAGCCGAGTCAGTGAGCTCCAAACAAAGGTACTCATTGGAGCTCCAAACGTGGGCGTTGGCTAAAATGTCATTCGATCAAGTGAGTGCCTCCCGGTTCGCCCTACGCCTAGTCGGCCATCTTTCATGTATCCATTAATCCAGCACAAAGCTGCGCGCCGCGGAGGCGCAGTGGCCACGAGGAGCTGGCGAACCTGGCAGAGCGAGCTGTCGACGAAACGTCGCAACGTCTGTCGATGAAACGAGTGGGCGCTCGTTTCCACGAAACGATCTGTCGATGAAACATCGCACTGTCGACGAAACATTTTGTCCATGAAACGTCGTTCGACGAACTGATTGCCACCGTAGCAGGCTTGCCAAAACTACGTTCACGCGCACGCTGCACATGTTTGCACGCACGGGGCATCAATGCCCAGTCAGATAGATGCGGGTAAGGGTGGGGATTGAACCTGTTTCTGCAGCGCAAGAATTCGCTCTCACCCCCTGAGTACAGTGTACCCTGAGCGTCACGCGACCGATGACTCGGCCCCAAATTTTTCTTTTATCACCTAAACCTAAATCTACACAAGAGAGCCCGCGTGGCTGCGGTGCACGTAAGCACGTGCAGTGCACGCATCGTTCAGAACAGCATTCGCACATGTAATGTAGCCACATAGCTTAGACCTTGAGGAGGTGGAGCGAAAGCAAGCGCCGTGTAAACGGCGGAAGCAGATATAATATGATTCTATCATTTAATTTTATATCGAATAGGAAACGAATTTTAGGCCAACACTTTAAGAAGAAGGATAGAAAACAGACTAGGTGGCGCAAGCTACCGGATTTATTTAGATTCACTCAGAGTTCTGGATTTGTGGCACAAAAATGGCTAAGCGAAGATTATATACATAAAAAAAGAACAAAAAAAACGTCTCGGGTTAAGGCACTGGGTTAAGGACGCCGTAGTTAAAAGCCAATCTTGTTTCGGGAAAGTTTCAGGCCGACGATCTCGTCGAGCTTTGAAAGGGGACGCCAGAGAATCCAAATCCCTATCCATAGTTTTGTTGCTCGCCATCGTTCGCGGCCGCAGCAGCCGCAACTCGCATCGGCGTCGCCGGTGGAACGTCACTACTGATACAGAGCTCTGTTGGCTCTGTGAAGACGATCATGAGTCGACGGCACGCATGTTTCGAGACCTTAACGTCTACACCATCAGGTTGATAAAACGATCCCTGTGTATTTCACACAAGCGTGCTATAGCTGCGCCTGAGCTTCACTTTGAAAAAGTCGCCTCGGGGTTCGTCGGCATCGTTGGTTTTCACAGCTTGCCTAACGGTGAGTGCGCATTTCTCTCACTGCTATTTCCAAAACTGGTTGTGTTCTACAGGGAGTTTGTGAGAAACCCGGACCGTGTTTTTCGCGCTGCAAAATTTAACTAAACATTGTGAATATTTCGCACACTGCCAGAACGTAGCCCTAGCGGTTGGAGCAAGACGCCGACATAGCGTCAGCGAAGTAATGAGCAGCTGTCGAAAAATTTCAATCAGAAAATAGGCGTTCGTTCGCGCGACTCCGTCTGCCGCAAGTTTCACGTTGAAAATTTGGAATAAAATGGCTGAACCTTCGAAATCGACGACGCTACGTTTTGAAACTTCTGCATGTTGCTTCAACCGCTAGGGCTGCGTTCTGTTGTCGTTGGAGCTAAAGCCCCTTGATGAAGGCCTTTTTTTACAAGTACTGCCAACCCTTGTTGTGGAAACGCGCGAGACACGTGCCGCGAGCGCGTGCTCCGCCGCCATTCGCTTCCAAGGGCCGCTCATTTCAGTGCTGCACCGCCATTTGCTTCCAAGGGCCGCTCGAGACATGGGGCTCGTGCGCTCGCGCATTTGACGCTACTTGCAAGACACGCAATCACATCGAGGGGCTTTAGTTTGAGCTCGCTCTGATGTCTGGCTTATTTTCACGTTGCGAAAGACACCGCTCGGTTTTCTTGCAAGCAACCTGCTATTTTGTTGAACGTGTGAATCGGAATTTGATGAATGGCATGTTGCTCGTTTTATGCCTATCAGAGTACTGGGGTCTATGTTGCACTTTTTGGACTCCCAGGAGACTAGGGAGAAGGAAGTGACGTCAACGACACAGCAAACGCAGATTGGATGTTGACAGAAGAAAACAAATTCAACATCCAATCTGCATTTGCTGCGTCGTTGACGTCACTTCCATCTCCCTGGCCTCCTGGGAGTCCAAAACGTGCAACATAGCCCCCCCTGGGGGGGTTATGTTCGACAAATGTTTCATTTCTCCTAAAAAGAAACGGAAGTGACGATGTCGCGTCTGATTGGTTAGAGGCTCCAATGACGAAAGAGTTAACTTTTGTCATTTGAGTCTCTAGCCAATCAGACACGATATCGTCACTTCCGTTTCTTTTTAGCAGAAACAAAACATTTGTCGAACATAGCCACCCTGCTCGCCATCAAAAACACCGACATTGTTTCCTGACAGTCAGTTCATCGAACAACGTTTCACCCACAGGTCATTTGGTCGACACTGCAATGCTTGATTGATAAATAGTTTGGTCAAAACGTTCTTGTGTTCCTTTAGTCGACATAGCTTGCGACGCTTGGTCGACACATTTTTTTCATTACACACTGCCTAAAAGAATTTCAAAAAGAATTGTCACGCCCTATCTGGCACATAATCTTGGCGGTGCATGTAGGCTGCCCCGTGCATGTCTAGATTTAGGCATTGCGGCTATACTCGTTTGCAGGTACGGTCTTGGGGTGCTGCATCTTGCTCGTGGGGCAGCAGGATAATCCTACTATGACACCCTCCTAAGGCCTGCCCAAGGTGGCTGGACTGGTGTTCCAACCATGCGTTCATCACAGTGTTAATGAAACTTTTTCCTACACATGGCTTGCACTGACGTCACATCACTCGCCATTGCTCCACACCATGCTCCTGTGCCCGTACCCTCTGCAGCTTACATTTCGCGCTGTCAAATTTGTTCTTCTCAACAAGGCTTGCCGAGAATAACAAATTGGATTGTGCGAAATGTATGCTGCAGAAGGTACAGGCACATGTGCAAGTATATCGTACCAGCCACAGTGGTGGCTGGTACGATGCCATATGACATCACGTGCAAGGCATGTATTAAAAGTTGTCTATGAAAAGTGTGTCGACAAAATGTGTGTAGTCGAAATGACACAAACCCTTTGCAATTATTTATTAACACGTTATATGACATGTGCATTCATTAGATGTAAATGAACCCATTTTATTTTTCAGATGGAGCAGGCAGAGGGTTACAAAAGCTACCTCCGGTGCGACACCTCTAGTATGCCCAGGCGTTCTGCATATCGCTACAAAAAGCAACATGCTGAACAGAACGATTCTGCCAGGTAATTATTTTCTATGCATACAAGGATGGATTGTCAGCATCATAGGGGAAGAAGAAGTCTGAAACTCCAACCTTGAAACTCCCACACTTGTCCGCTTTTCCTGGAACTTTCTGGCTAGCATCAAGTTGCTCTGTATTCAAAATTGAATCCTTTACCTTTCCCTTAAGACCACTTTGATATGTAGCTTGCATGGCATCACACTAAAGAAGAGGCTAGTCCCTACAATATGCTAGCTGCATTTGTGACCACATGCCGCAGTGCTGGCCTACAAGTACCACTTAGGCAGATTTGAGTTCCGAATGGAACGCAAAGTGTTTGCAATTTGACGCAGGCTTATTGTGGAGACCAGACAGTAGCCGCGTTTACATGAATGCGACTTGGTCGCATTGAGTCCAGTTGTCGCATTCAATGCGGTCACGTAAACGGCATAATGCTCTAGGAAAGCGCATTGCATTCGAGTCGCTGGACAGAGGTGTATCGAGGCAGCAAAGGCTCATTCATTCAACCGATGTAAATGTAGGTCGCATCGCATTTTGGAACAGGAGGGGTTATGGGAAGGCGCTCGCTGTGGGAGCGAGTGAAAAGCTGGGAACATGGGGGCGGCCAGCCTCGTCGGCAACGGCGGATAGCGGTCCCGTCTGATCGCCTGCAGTTTTCTCCCAAGAAGAAACGCAAGCTTTTATTGTCAAACAAAGGGAGCATAATATAGCCGAGCTGCTCAGTGAGGGCGGCCCCCGTCCAGGCCTTGCAAAATACGACTTGCGCGTCTGGAAAAGTCCCTATAAGCTTCGGCGCAAGCACAAACGATGCCGAGAGATCCGAGCACCGCATGGTAGCACAGAACAAGCAGCACCTACCTCAATGCCTTCCTTGGCTGCGCCGGAGCCTTTCGGCCTCGAGGTGCGGTCGCGGTTGGCAAGGTTTAGCGAGGTGAAGCGCAGTGGCGTCCTCGGGGCGGTTGGAAACAATCTCGCTCGCCAGGCCGTGCGCACGCACGTCACCTCTGATCCAGAGTGGCCCGGCAACCCGACCCGGAGCCCAAAACCCTAGTGTTTTGATGTTTCTTCCATCTTGTAACTTCTTGCACAGCATCGAAGAGAGTGGGCATGATTCTTACACTTGTTGGGGGCGTTGAAAGGCCTTCACATGCAATGCTCCGAAAAATTGTGTTCATATGGTGCAGCTGGTGCCGAAAATGCAGCTTTTACCTTGAGCTTTGACACGGCGTGGTACCACCTTCGCGTAGGTGGATTCGTGGAGGGATTCGTGTCTCTTGAGGAAAGTGTTTAATTATGGTAATATTGGTACAGGTATCGAATGGAACTTAAGAAAATGTGTAATTAATGTATACTTCATTACATGTTGCACGTGGGCTCCCAGTAGTTGCTATGTCGCCGCTATTTTTTCTGCTACCAGAACTCTTGATCATTTAAGAATGTATGGGTTGTTCTCATGTGGAAGCAGCAGCTCTCATAAGTTGCCCAGCCTCGTGCATTTACGACTTTGGAAGAAGAGATGACATCAAAATATAAGTTTCAAAGTTAGGAGAGCAGCTTTATGTAGGTCGCATGTGTTTTTCGTGTAAGATGAAATGTTTTATGCCGCTACATCCTGTGAGGTGGCAAGATAGTGGTGAAATGTGTCATAGCTTATTGTGGACGACCCAGGCTACTACCTCTGACTTCAGCTGTGTGTACCATATTTGCATTAATTGTCTTATTAAGTTGTGCATTACAATAACCCTTTGTTTTACCTAGGCAGCTTGAAGCACAGCCAGGTCTTATTCTGATGGTGAATCTCACCTGCAAAGGCATTGTGCATGGCTATAAGCACGGAGGTGCACGGCAGATTTTCATTGCACAGCACGCACAGGCTGTTTTTGTGCCTAGGAAAACCATCACCGCAATATGTCCTCAGTCATAAAAAAAATAATTTACAAGCATTCCACACGTAATAAGACAAGAAGCATGACAAGGTGCGAACAAAAGGAGTGCATAAAAGCTGCAGTTGTCCTGCTGCATTGGTGCTTTGATATTTATTTGGGGATCGGTGGCCGAGTGGGCTAGCGCACACCAGCTCGGAGCACGTGGAGCGGAAGCTCGCGCTGCAGAACCCAGGGATCCTGGGCTCAGTCCCCACCCTTGCCCGTTTCGATCTGGGTGAGCATCGTACCGGCGTGCGGTCGTGTATCACTAATGCGTGATGCACGTTAAAGACCCCAGGCTAGCTGTTGTACTGCGCTGACTAAATTGCTCCTCTACAGCTGGGAGACTCGTCGCCCGTCGAGGCAGACCAAGTTCTAGGCTGTATAAATATATACACAATGAAATTTTTTTAATATTTATTTCTAGTGTTCAGCACCGCCCTAACCAACTCCAGCCGACAAAATCCCATCATAGAACTCGAGGCGGAAAAAACGGACCATACACGCTTTACGTATTCCGGGGGTTTCAATATTAATTTCGAAAACTTCACTGACAAATGTCATGACAATTGTCATAGATAAGCTAACCGTTCATATCTTTGTAATTGTACCTTGTCGTCACATTGCCACAATAATTTTATGAAGGAAAGATTGTGGGAATGTGTACGCCGAGGAGTGGTGCAATGGGGCTCTGTCCATTCTTCATAAAGTAGGTGCTGCAAATCCCAGTTTGTCTGTACACCAGCTGCCACAAGCCTTAAGTTGCATTGTGCATGTACCGGTTAGAGAAGAATCTGTGCATCACAGAAAGCAAGTAAAGACTGGAAAAGAAGACTCGAGAAAGAGCTTCCTTAAATTCCGGTCCCCAACGCTGCTCCACTGCAGTCCATCTTTACACACGCAAGAAAATTAGTAAAACTGCAAAATTGGGAGTTTCTGAACTAAGCTTTTCTAGCCATTGTGGCAGTTCTAGGTGCAACAATAAACCAACTTCTGTTTTCTTCTCCATGATTCTGCGGATGGCCTAACAAAACCTAGGAAATATCGGAATACTAGCCCACGCCCAGAAAGAGGGAGTGCTAGGAACATACCAAACTTCTTATCTTGCTCAGCAGCTGATGATACAGAAATTTTTAAAGGCCAGTGCACAAAGTGCATGCTTGATCTCACCATAAGTCTGAGTGGATCAAAAGCGAGTTTGTTTTCTTGACATATGCGTCCTCTGGATTTGCATGCATGCACACCAGGCAAGCCCAAAGCATGCTACTCACTGTTGTAAGTCCTGCTTCACTCATTCTTATGGCCAAATGGTATGCGGTTGAGATACTTCATGGATGTTTTGCAAGGAGAGACGAGAAATAAAAGTGGTGCAAATAACTGTTTTTGTTATTTGTAAGTTACCATGCTGTATAAGACACCATACTTTACAGAAGCTTGTGGCTCATGTTTGTTTTGGGTACATACCAGACCTCTGAGAGTTTTAACATTGGTTGTGGGAAGTTTGTATCTATTTACAGATCAACTAATGACGAGGTTTCGCTGTCATCCTCCACAAGCTCAGCAGAAAACCAAGGTGAAGGCTTGGGAGACGCTGAAAACCCCGCAGGGAGAGCTGGCTTTGTCACCTGTGAGGACGACACTCCTGCTGGACAACCTCCACAACCTCTAGTTTCAGGCCCAACAGGCATGGAATCACCCCCTCAGGACCCAATGGTAGGTCTTTTTTTTTCTTTTTTTTTTTTTCTATTTAAGTTTAGATTTAGAAACTCAAAATCTGGCTGCATGTGTGAAATGTCGTTCCACAGCACAACTTATTCACATCATTATTTTCTGCATTTTATTCTTCCACGTTAGTGTTCACAGAAGCACATTTTATGGCAGTGGTAGACTGGTGAATGAAATAAATACAGAAAAACGGTGATTGCTTTGCAGATGGGCCAGTTTGAACAGTAACGACGAATGTATGTCAATTCAACAGAACTATTTCGCCTGTATATATATATATATATATATATGTTCTTGGAAGAGCAAAATGCATAGGTTTTAGTGCATTTTAGTGCCAACTTGGCTTATTCAAACCAGTGTCATGTAAGCTCCAAGGGTTCAGTCTATTTTAGCATCTTAAATTGTTTGAAGGTCTACATTGAGTGTCTGACTTTAGGTATAGGAGGCACTCACTCGGCTTCAACGATAGATTTCCATTACACAGCACGCACAGGCTGTTTCTGTGCCTAGGAAAACTGTCACCTTGGCCTGTCCTCAGGGAGAGTATCTACGTCCTGTAGAGAGAGTATTAGCCTTCAACCACCATCGTTCTGGTCAAACTCACAATTTGTGGCTGGTGACATGGATAGTTAGGTGTGGCATGGTTGGGTCAAAAACCGGTAAATAATAGGAATAACTTCTACTATAAGCACATTGTGTTTGCACGATTCTAATTCTTTACCAGTTGGAATGCTCGGATATATATCCTCAAGTATGTCGCCATGAGGTCAAGGGGAAAGAAAAATGTTGACCGGTTGTCATGCTGAGCGGCTCCACTGAATCCGAGTAGCATTGAGGAATGCCAAGCTCTTAATGCTCTGCTGTGATCAGTTTCTGACAGAATCCCCGTGCACTATGCGTGGTTAGCTTTTTAAGTTTCTTATTCAGAAATATACCATTGAGTCTCGAGCATGATGCTTAAATTTTGGAAGCATACACTCATCTGAATTTGCAACATACGGCATGAAGTTTAAGCATAACATTCTAGACTCCAATTCCTTCTTGGACACTTATCACTACTGTCGTTCATTGAAGAAATTCCCAAGTTAAAATTTTATGATCGGCTTAATAAAACAGTTGGGTATATTGCACTGCATACACAGCGTGAATGTGATTAACACGTAGCAGTCGTTGTTTCACACTAATGACTGCAAACATGAATGGCATCCAGTGCCTATGCCTAAGATTTAATTATACTGGCATCATAAATGAAGACATCCTTAATTTAAATTATTTTTGTTTTGGCATTTCATCAAGTTTGCAGTTGAGTTCACAGGAGTTCGTTGGAAAAATAGGGCCATTTTTCTGCCTGTTTCGCTGCAGATGACGTTGAAATGTGATTGCATTACTTTAATGAAATGACATTCCTGTGTCTTGTTAAGGTAGGAAGCATAGGCATTGGTGATCTGTGCAGGGTCAGGGTTGCAATACTGGTGTGTGCAAAGGCGTGCTTTCCCATGGCCGGTATTGTTCACTGGGTGCACATTGCAGGCTAACGTAGGGATGTTAATACAGGGCAATATGGCCCACGGGGATGGTATCTGTGGGATTGGGAATAGGGGGGTGATGTCATTGAGGAGGATACATTGACCGTGGTATAAGAGATGGAGGTGTTTGTGTTAAGAGGTGCAGTGATCCGTGTACCGAGGGGGGTGTGAAGGCTAGTTTCGTCAAGTTTAAAAATGGGTGTAATTGAGTACTCCAAGAGCTAGGTGTGCGGTACTGCATAGGGCTCTATTGAGTTGTAGCTGGGAGGGCAGTAGAGAAGAGCCCTAGTGAGACGGTGGATGTCGTGCTTGCTAAGTTTGAAGCTTGAGAGTTGGCGGTTCATATATTATGGTAACAGCACAAAAGATCCCTCTCTGTGTCTCCTTTGTGTGCTTGTCCTTTGCGACCTTAAGAGATGTCATGCTCTTTTGAAGCCTTGGTGTTGGCGTGTACTACCGCTGATAATTTAAGTGAGCTGAGTGGCCTGATGTTGGCAGGTGTGAACCCAGTAGGTGGCTTTGCCATCCTCGAGGAGGTGGAACCCGAGTGCTTTGATGCTAAGACGATGAGGGGGGGTAGTGTCATGCAGGGTGAGTTGGATGAGGTCCCGGTCAACTTGCGTGCAAGACCGTTGAGGGTGGTTAGTTAATAGGACAAAATTTGTATTTTAGCGGGCCGTCGGCAGTATTAGGCTTCGCTGTTTTGTCTTTTCTGGGTTCTGGGAATCATATTCCCAGAACCCGGAAGTTTTACCTGATTCTGGTAATCGGGTAAAACTTACAGCTGCCTTCGGATTGAGTTGCCGACTTCTTAATTTAGGATTCCTTAAATATATATGGTGTCAAGTTTTGCTTTTCAGTTTTTTAGGGGTCAGGTGCAACAGGTGACCAGTGTTTTGGAACATTAAAGGTGAATGAGTGCTCTGCGACCTCAAGTGATCAAAGAAGCTTATATTTTGTAAATCAATTTTTATTTTTTTCTGCATAGTGTACAACGATTGATTTTGGAACACTGTTTAATGTAGGAGGCATTTGTCCCATAGGTGCAGCCCCTGTTTCCCGGCGCCCAGCTGACTCATGAGGAGAGTCTCCTCCTGCTTATGGCTCATATCTTGCGCCACCACAACTCTAAGGAGGCAACAGAGAGCCTGTTGACCACACTGCACGCACATCTCCCGCAAGGAACCGAACTTCCTGCAACGAAGTACCTTTTCGAGAAGTACTTTAAGAAACAGGAGCAGCCGCTTGAGACCCATTTCTATTGCCCCACATGTCTTGCGTATATTGGTGTGGGAGGTACTGGTGAGATTTCTTGTGTTTGTGGAGCGAAGCACTCGGCAAAGGATTTACTTCGTGAAGGCTACTACTTTTTAAGCCTGGACTGGAAAGCCGAGCTTCGTAACCTTCTCCAAAAAAAAAGTCACGTGCTTGAAAAGCCTGGCTTAAAGTTTGATGTTGCAGACATCACTCAGAGTCCGGCATATAACCAACTTCCATTGGGCCCGGATGACGTTACTCTCACGTGGAATACTGATGGGGTACCGATTTTCCACTCTTCCGAGTACAGTGTCTGGCCTCTGGAGATCATGATAAATGAACTCCCTTTAAAAGAAAGGATGAACAATGTTCTGTTGGCGGGTCTGTGGTTTGGGCCAAGGAAACCAAACATGCAGTGTTTTTTGGTACCTTTCATTGCAGAGATGAACGATTTGAGTACAAACGGTTTCAGTTGGGTAGACAGTAGTGAAATCACTCATGTAAGTAAGGTCTTCCCTGGCCCATTGACTGTCGACACGGTGGCGAGGTGCATGTTGCACAATCATACCCAGTTTAACGGGCAGTATGGATGCCCCTGGTGCCTGCACCCAGGCCGTGTCGTGGAGCAGGGAAGAGGCCACGCTCGCGTGTATGAGGTGATGAAAGTTAAGAAAAGAACGGATGCAGACTTTGAAAAAGATGCAAAGACCATGGCGCATGGCGTGCTTGGGCCTACAGTGTTGTCGCTAATGCTATTTTTTAGCATTACCAACAACACTGTAGTCGACTACATGCACGCCGTGTGTCTAGGTGTGGTCAGAACAACCACCAACCTGTGGTTCAAAGGTGTTCACTCTCGAAAAAGCTTCTACTTGGGAAGGAAGCGGGAACTGATTAACGCTCGTCTCAAAAGCATGACCCCACCTTACGAGTTTTCACACCTGCCACGCTCTCTGTGCCAGCGCAAGTTCTGGAAGGCGACGGAATGGAGAGCGTGGCTCCTGTATTACTCGCCATTTGTTTTGAGTGGTGTGCTGCCTGCACAGTATTTCAAAAATTGGTGTAGACTGAGCAACATACTGCATGCTCTCCTAGCCGATGTAGTGGCAGTCGACATGCTTGCTACTGTCGAAGCTGACGTTGCAGTGTTCATGAAGGAGTACCAGGACCTGTACGGGTGTGCGCAGATGACCTTTAACGTTCATTTGATTTCACACTTGTGCGATAGCGTGCGGCAGTGGGGCCCGTTGTGGGGATTTTCAGCCTTTCCATTTGAGAATATGAATGGCATCATTAAGAAAAGCTTTCACGGAACTCAGCACGTACCCGAACAAATCTGCCGAAAGTTGCTGCTTTCGCAGTTTCTACCCACCCTTGCAAACTCGCGCAACTGTTTTCTTGACAAACCAAAGTTCCTTCAGCACTTTGAAAGCTTGACCCGCGGTTACAGGAGAATTTTTAATGTGCAGAAACACACTGATGCGATAACTATTGGGGCTGGGTCTCGCAAGCTAACACCCATGGAGGTTCACTCTCTCCAGAGCATCGGCATTTCTACATGCATGGTAATGAAATTCAAGAAAGTGTTAGTTGATGGAACGAAGTTCATCGCCCACCTTTTGAACAAGAGCACACGAATGAATTCTGTTGTTCATCTTCATGATACCACATTCGGCATAATCGAATGCGTACTCGTTATGTGTGGTGTGTGCACCTCGAGCTGTAACTGCAAAAAGAATGTGTATTTTCTTCTGCGGAAAGTGAAAGCAAGGTTGGTTAACTTTGGGTCTACTTTTGCACACACGCATGTGCTTGATGTACAGGATGATCACAGAATTGTTGATGTGCGCTCTGTTAATCAGAAGTGTGTCGCATTTTCTGTAGATGGCAAGCTATATGCTTCCCCTCTGAACAGGAACATTGACAACTGAGTACATTGACTACTTCATTTCATACCTTGTGTGCAATGCTGTTGAACTTTCAACTTCTAGACTCGAGCTGTACTCGTCTTAAGTGATTGTGCAATAATCAATGATAGGCTGAGAAAGTAGGGAGAAGGGATGGGAAGCATAAAATAGCCGGTGTATTGTACTTTCATTTAATGTATTAAATATTGAGAACTGGGGGCAACAATGACCTTTTCATTTTATCCTTAATTTTTTGTTAAGTAAACATAACTTGAGAGTAACGTTACTTTTTGGTAGTAACAGTAACTGCAGTGCTTGACTTTTTCATTGCAATAACTGTAACACAATTACTTTTATTGAAAGGAAACTAGAAAGTTACCTTTTGAAAGTAACTTGACTGTGCTCCATGCTCTATACTTTGTTTCATACTTAGCGTGAAACGCTGTCAAAGCTACTGGCGTGAGCGCGGGGCTTGATCTCGTTGATCATTTACACAAGGTCTCGCGCAAACAAAACCATAAATGAAGCCACGCGCTCGCGCCAGTAGCTTTGACAGCTTCGCATCTTAAGTATGAATTGGAGTATAGTGCAGGGTTCTCAAACACTCGGCCCGCCTGGCGTTTGCTAGCAACCCGCGCAATCAGGCATAAGTAAAAAAAAAAGAGAGAATTTAGCACTTTTTTACAGCGATCTTGATTGTTGTGAAAAGCGGTGACGTGGTGACGGCATCTTCACAAGTCCCATAGCCTCATATTTGTAAAAACCAGAAGCCAGACGTAGCAGACTAAACTTTCAATTGCCCCCTGTGCTCGAAAAGTATGGGGGGCATTTCAAAAGTATGGGGATCGTTTCAAATGCCCCCGTGCTCGAAAAGTATGGGGGGCATTTCAAATGCCCCCTCCACTGACGTACCGGCCCTTGTGGATTTACATTTTGTGAATGCGGCCCGGCTCCTAAGACGAGTTTGAGACCACTGCACGTGATTACATGAGCACACGCCGGTGCAATGTTCACCTATACTAAAACAAGCTTGGAGCACGTGGAGTGAAAGCTCGCACTGCAGAACCTAGGGAACCTGGGTTCGATCCCCACCTCTACCCGTTTTGATCTGGATGAGCATCGTACCGGCGTGCAGTCGCATATCACTAGTGCGTGGCGCAGGTTGAAGACCCCAGGCTAGCGATTTATACTGCACTGGCTAAATTGCTCATCTACAGCTGGGAGGCAAGTTGCCTGTTGAGGCAAACTAAGTTCTAGGTTGTATACACATACACACTACCCCCTCCCCCCCATACTGAAATAGGCAAGGGTGGGTAAAAATTTCGGGGAAAATGAACCACGACTTATACACCGGAAAATATGGAACTGCTTGCCTTGACTGTCTGCGCACATCCGTACTTGTCCTTATCTAGATTTTACCTTTATTTTATTCTTGCCTAGACCAATTTCTGAAATTCTGTGCTTGTTTTACAGGGTGTCTACCAGATAACTAATTTAAAATTCCCTGATCGTTTCTGGGTCGATGTATGACATATGGGCAACATTATTCAACATGGCCGTGCCGATGTGCGACCGTCGAACGTTGTTACGCACAGACATGCCACTTTTACTGGTCATTTCTTCTGATTTAGCCAACTTTTTGATGATTTCCTTGATTATTCCCTGATATTCCCTGACTTTTCCAGATGATTCCTAATTTTAAGAGTTCCAGGTTGGTAGGTGCCTGTTTTAGTGTGTATACACTTGTCTCGAATTTACCTTGTTGCTTGTGAGCTGCTTTGCTGTTTTAGATTGACATGTGCTCATGCATACTTGGGAACGAGAGCAGTTTCTGCGCTCGTTTAAATATCAAATTTATCTTCAATTACATTTGGACAATATAAAGCCTTACCATGAGTTCTACTAATGTTTTAACATCATCCATAACATATTTTCATAATGTTGGTCAGGTAGCATATATTTAAGAGATGTTATTAGAACATAGTTTAAATCAAAGCTGAGCATATGGGGGAGTGCACTCTATAGGAATGAAGAATCCTCATGATTTTGAGCTTGCATTGACTGACTGTGGGCATCAGTCTTGTTCTTATCTACATTTCGTCTTGATTTTAATGTTGTCTGATATTTGTTTTCATTAAATTTTATGTTTGCTTTAGAAACGTGAAAGATAGTGTGCTATTACAGTTTGCATTCTTGCAATAGTGCCTGGGCTCTGTTTCGATTTCTTCATTGTGGCTGTTATCTTGGCAGGCAGAGTACTTTTTCTTGGTTGAGAGTTCCTTTTGTGTGAATTGTTTTCTTATATATTGTATACCTAAAATATTTAAGTTTTAGTGTTACAAACATTGGGTCCTTGAAGGACATTAAGAACAATGAATGAGAATCAAAGGATGCTGATTGCATCTGACGTGGAAATAAAAAAAATTGGTAACGTCTTAGCATATGTTGAAAGATGGCTAAGTTGTTTTCCTTTGCCTCACATGGGTTGATGTTGAATTTACTCTTAATAAAATCTATAAAAAATCCCACTATCAAGCCTTCCCAGTTTCTCTAATGTATAGTAGTCAAATACGGTTCTAAAACTAGAATTTCAAGTGACCCTACTCATTGCACTACCTGTTTAATGATTCAGGTGAAGCTTCGAATGGTATGCGGTTTAGAAAACGTTTGACGCTGTTTTTTAATGGAAACTTGTTATATGGTCGAGGGTTTTGGTGGCAGAAAGTTTTCAGACAGGTTGCACTGGCCTAATTTCATTCTCTTCTGGTGGTTTGAGCTACCTCGATTGTAGCCTTTACTGCACTAATTCTACAAATGGGAAACGAGAGCGGAAATGAGCGAGTGCTGCTTCCACTGTGTTAGCGGCAAGCTTCTGTCACGAGCAAGGAGGACGGATATGACGTCACGTGCAAGCCATGCATAGGCACCTGGAGCAGTTGACTACAGACAGCTGAATAGGTGATTTGTAGCTTTCAGCAAAATTTAAATGAGAAAAATGACCGTGCATCTATAGCTATGAAGGCATACTCTCTCCCATAGCAGGCTACAGACAGACGAGTGCGTGTATCTATAGCTTTGCAGTAATACACTTTTCGATGGGTGGCTACAGACAACTTCTATAGCCGGCTACAGGCAGACTGAATGGTCACGCATCTATAGCATTGGAGTCATGCAGTGGTCTATAGGTGGCTACAGACAATTGAATGGGCATGTGTCTATAGCATTGAGGGCATATACTTGCTAAAGCCGGCTACAGACGAACGAATGGTCACGGATCTATAGCTTTGGAGTGATACAGGTGCCTATAGGCGGCAACAGAAAACTGAATGGGCATGCATCTATAGCATTGAGGGCATATACTCTCCTATAGCCGGCTACAAACGAATGAATGGTCGCGGATCTATAGCTTCGGAGTGATACAGGTGCCTATAGGCAGCTACAGACAACTGAATGGGCGTGCGTCTATAGCATTGAAGGCATTTACTCTCCTATAGCCGGCTACAGACGAATGAATGGTCGCGGATCTGTAGCTTCGGAGTGATACACGCGTCTATAGGCGGCTACAGACAACTGAATGGGCGTGCCTCTATAGCATTGAAGGCATATACTCTCCTATAGCCGGCTACAGACGAATGAATAGTCGCGGGACTATAGCTTCGGAGTGATACAGGTGCCTATAGACAGCTGCAGACAACTGAATGGGTGTGCGTCTATAGCTTTGAAGGCATATACTTTCCTATAGCTGGCTACAGACGAATGAATGGTCGCAGATCTATAGCTTTAGAGTGATACAGGTGCCTATAGGCGGTTACAGACAACTGAATGGGCGTGCCTCTATAGCATTGAAGGCATATACTCTCCTATAGCCGGCTACAGACGAATGAATAGTCGCGGGACTATAGCTTCGGAGTGATACAGGTGCCTATAGACAGCTGCAGACAACTGAATGGGCGTGCGTCTATAGCTTTGAAGGCATATACTTTCCTATAGCTGGCTACAGACGAATGAATGGTCGCAGATCTATAGCTTTAGAGTGATACAGGTGCCTATAGGCGGTTACAGACAACTGAATGGGCGTGCCTCTATAGCATTGAAGGCATATACTCTCCTATAGCCGGCTACAGACGAATGAATAGTCGCGGGACTATAGCTTCGGAGTGATACAGGTGCCTATAGACAGCTGCAGACAACTGAATGGGTGTGCGTCTATAGCTTTGAAGGCATATACTTTCCTATAGCTGGCTACAGACGAATGAATGGTCGCAGATCTATAGCTTTAGAGTGATACAGGTGCCTATAGGCGGTTACAGACAACTGAATGGGCGTGCCTCTATAGCATTGAAGGCATATACTCTCCTATAGCCGGCTACAGACGAATGAATAGTCGCGGGACTATAGCTTCGGAGTGATACAGGTGCCTATAGACAGCTGCAGACAACTGAATGGGCGTGCGTCTATAGCTTTGAAGGCATATACTTTCCTATAGCTGGCTACAGACGAATGAATGGTCGCAGATCTATAGCTTTAGAGTGATACACGCGTCTATAGGCGGTTACAGACAACTGAATGGGCGTGCCTCTATAGCATTGAAGGCATATACTCTCCTATAGCCGGCTACAGACGAATGAATAGTCGCGGGACTATAGCTTCGGAGTGATACAGGTGCCTATAGACAGCTGCAGGCAACTGAATGGGCGTGCGTCTATAGCTTTGAAGGCATATACTTTCCTATAGCTGGCTACAGACGAATGAATGGTCGCAGATCTATAGCTTTAGAGTGATACAGGTGCCTATAGGCGGTTACAGACAACTGAATGGGCGTGCCTCTATAGCATTGAAGGCATATACTCTCCTATAGCCGGCTACAGACGAATGAATAGTCGCGGGACTATAGCTTCGGAGTGATACAGGTGCCTATAGACAGCTGCAGACAACTGAATGGGCGTGCGTCTATAGCTTTGAAGGCATATACTTTCCTATAGCTGGCTACAGACGAATGAATGGTCGCAGATCTATAGCTTTAG